CTATAGTATATAGTCTATAGTCTATAGTATATAGTATATAGTCTGTAGTCTATAGTTTATAGTATATAGTCTATAGTATATATAGTATATAGTCTATAGTATATAGTCTATAGTATATAGTCTATAGTATATAGTATATAGTATATGTGGCCCAGTGGCCTGGTGGCTAAAGCTCCCGCTTCATACACGGAGGGCCCGGGTTCGATTCCCGGCGGGTGGAAACATTTCGACACGTTTCCTTACACCTGTTGTCCTGTTCACCTAGCAGCAAATAGGTACCTGGGTGTTAGTCGACTGGTGTGGGTCGCATCCTGGGGGACAAGATTAAGGACCCCAATGGAAATAAGTTAGACAGTCCTCGATGACGCACTGACTTTATTGGGTTATCCTGGGTGGCTAACCCTCCGGGGTTAAAAATCTGAACGAAATCTTATCTTATCTTATCTTGTCTATAGTCAATAGTGTGATCAGGCTGTGATCCACCAGGAGGCCTGGTCACAGACCGGGCCACGGGGGTGTTGACCCCCGGAACTCTCTCCAGGTAAACTCCAGGTATAGCCAGTATATGGTTACTATCTTCAACAATTACTGAGAAATATAGACAGTGTAATAACTATTTAATAATAACAACTATGTAATATATCTTATTAATAAAAATAAAATACCAGATATATTAAACAAATTTCCTAAATTTACTTGTAACAGATAACTGAACTGTTGATATAATCCAATTGTTCTCCTGTTAACCTTTGTGAGGCCTAGTTCATAGGCCTATTGTGTGTCCATATACTCTTGTACTACCATCCATAGGATGGATATTGGTAGCACAATAAACCAGCCACTGCCATCCATAGGATGGATGTGGGTTGTGGAAAATAATGTATTTTCCAGGAAAAAATACAGTGTATTTTTTATGTAAATTAGTGTAACATACTGTATTTAATAAAAATTTGTCATAAAAAATGGGAAGCCTGCGCAGAGGGTACTCGCCATTGTTTTTTGAATTGAGTAACAAACGTTAGTGAATAATGGGAAGAATTTTCGTGCTCTAGAGGTTAAAATTGGGCTGACACCTCTCAAATAGGAGCCAAAATTGTTGGATGTGCATTCCTGCATAACTTGAGATATCAGGCGACTGGACAAGACAGCTCCAGGAACCTCAGATAAGTCTGTTTATGTTTGTAACTCTGGCCAGTGTTATTTTCATAGACAGTGGGGTTTTCTGAGTATGATACAAATGATACAAATTGGTGAGTGATATTAAGATATATTCTCCTTCTGTTATGTAAATGTGTGTATATATAATCACTTATTAATTTTAATATACAGTCCACAAATTTATATATTTACCAGAATTCCTGGTGTATGTACATTTCATTTGTAATTAATAGGTCTAGAGCAACTTGTGGATATGACAGTTGTAGGTATCGAAGGGGGACATTTTTTGTGACCTAGGTGTCCCAAATTCCTACTTGTCTATGTAACTCTGATAAATAATAATTATCTTTGTTATCATTTACTGTTATGTACATAATGAGTTATATTCAGATAAATGCAATTTTCCACAAACAACAAAACAACAACAAAAACAAAACAACAAAAACAAATTCATCATCATCATCAGCTCAACCAGGTCGAGCTTTCTATCCAGTTCACACTGTATAGTGTGATTTTTCTGAACTTAAGTTCTCTGCCGGAGGCGTCTCCATCAACTACCCCCCATAGACTCATGTCATGAGTTTTCGGGTGGCCATGAGTCCATATTGGATCAAGATTATTATTATAATAAAGGGGGAGCACTAAACCCATATGATTATGCAGCACCTGTGGGGGGGATGTGGAAGGTATTCAGGCTTAATTCAGGGAACTGGAGCACAGATCCAATTCCCTAGATCAAGAGCCCCTCACCAGCATCAAGGAACCTTCTTTGAGGGGCCTTGGATCAAGAGACCCTCACCACCACCTTCAAGGAACCTCTCTCCAGGCCACCACTCACATTATTATTATTATAATTAAGGGGAAGCGCTAAACCCGGAGGATTATGCAGCGCCTGGGGGGAATATGTGGAAGGCATTCAGGCTTAATTCGGGGAACTGGAGCACAGATCCAATTCCCTAAATCAAGAGCCCCTCACCAACATCAAGGAACCTTCCTTGAGGGGCCACCACTCACAACCAGTGCTAGTCATACTATTGTACCACTAGCACTCTGGTGGTATAATAGTACTACTGTACCACTAGTGCCCTACATGAAGGGCAGATTATTTTAATATTCAGGGAAGTGCTACAATCGTAAGGGTTATAATAAAAAATTGGCCTATGGGACGTACTCGTTTTTCATCATACACAGTATTATGTTCATGGGGAGAGTTAATCCAGTAGGAATAGACCTATTTAGGGCTGTTTCTGCTAGTTTATGGGTCAGTGTTAAATTTATGTGGGAAATTTAAGCCAGTAGGGATACATCTATTTAGGAGTGTTCCTGTTAGCCTATGGGTCAGAATTATGGGGACAGGTAAGCAAGTAGGGATAGGCCTATTTAGGGGTGTTCCTGCTAGCCAATGGGTCAGTATTATGGGGAGGGGTAAGCCAATAGGGATAGGCCTACTTAGGGGTGTTCCTGCTAGCCTATGGGTCAGTATTATGGGGAGAGGTAAGCCAGTAGGGATAGACCTATTTAGAGATGTTCCTGCTAGCCTGTGGGTCAGTATTGCATTCATAGGAGAGATTTAATAACATAAGTGCAGATAAAAACAGTTTAGAGAAGCAGCTTGGGTTTTCAGACAGCATAATATGATCCTTGTGAGTTTAACACTGACTTGATTGTAATAACAATCAATGGATTACCATGGAAAGTTTTAAGCCAGCAGAAACAGGCCTAAATAAACCTATCCCTGCTGGCATTAAGGTCAATCACAAGCAAGTTTCACAATAATGCTTGCAGACCTAATTATTCTTATTATTAGTATTAACAAAACCAAGCGCTAAACCTACTAGGGTCACACAGAGCTATGTATTCTTACTAGCCTCCTAAGAACACCCATGTCATGGACTAGTTCAGGTTAACCTATGGAGTCATCTAGTCTGTGACACTTCTCTCAGGAGCCTGTGTACACCCTTGGTAGAGCCCTCTATCCTACCAGGATCCCAGCTATGTTATGCACCCTTGATAGAACCCTCTATCCTACCAGGATCCCAGCTATGTCACATGTGAACACCCTTGGCAGAGCCCTCTATCCTACCAGGGTCCCAGCTATGCATCTGGTAGAGGCCAGGTTAGGCTGATGAGGTGATTTCTAAACCCATTAGTTATACAATATACTGCTGTTTCACTTCCTTGTGGGACAGGAATCTTGTTATTTTTTGGGGGAAGTGATAAATCCATGAAGGTCACACAATTTCTTGGGAATTGTTAGAATCAAAACCAAGCGCTAAGCCCACAAAGGTCATACAGTGCTGCAGGGCTGGGGGTGTTGTTTGATCAGAAAGTAGGAAGGGTGTACTAATATTATAATCAAAACCAAGCACTAAACCCAAAGGGATCATTCAGCACTTGCAAGGATGTAGAGGACAACAAAGGTAGAGTTAGAAAGGTCTGTGATTTCTTGGCAATAAGAGGCACTCAGACATGATCCAAGGAATGGGAAGGCAACTCCAATGCCTTGGATCAAGTTTCACTTGCATCAAGGAATCTACATTGTGGGACTCAATTCTTGAAATAAAAATGACGTATGTGCTATCAACTATTTTCATACCATGGTAAATTATTATTACATTGACAAGTGTTAAATGTAAATGAGCCGTAAAGGAATTTATATTTCTATCATAACAGAACTTTGATAAGAATTTCCTCTATCCAGATCCTCTACATCCAAGTTACTTTGATCATCTTAATGTGAATTAATTTTTATTATCATAGGGAGTGCACTAAATCTACAGGGAAAAATAGAAATAGCAGACCATGTACTGTTGTTCATAGGAAAACACAAGAATTGTAGACAATAATACAATGCCCTCCCAGGAATCTTGGAAGTGCTCTCACTGTCACTGAAGGAAGCACACCACTGCCTAACCATACCACAGGCAGGATTTGAACCCGCGGTCAGAGAGTCGTGGTATGGTTTGTTTGCAATCGTGTCATTACGATTTCGCGTGACACCACTGCCTCTCAACATCACGTGTAATTACTGCCATAATCAAGAAAGCCACGATGATTTTTGTCCAAAAAATAAAAAAATGTTAACAGGGCAGAAAAGGATCATTAAGTTTAAAAAAAAAAAAAAAAAAAAAATCTTTGAACCAACCAACTGGATTTCAGATCTGGTGAACACCCTCGTACATTACCTACCGACCTACTCCCATTTCAGCTCAGCAGGTGGCCCTGTGCCATGTAGGGATACTGCCGGTGTGTTGAAAGAAAGATTCATAAATATGTGTTAAGTTTTTATATTATATAGCAATCTCTTTCCCTACTAATTCTTCTTTGTACAATATTATTACAATCACAGCTAAGCGCTAACACCACAAGTCATACACCCCTTAGTAAAACACTAACTATGCAAAGCAATATACAGTGGTACCCTGAGTTTTGAACTGCTCTCGACTCGACCAATTATGTAAGTGTATTATTGTAAGTGCTTTTCTAAGTGTATTTTTGGGGGGTCTCAAACGGACTAATCTAATTTACATTATTCCTTATGGGAACAAATTTGTTCAGCAACGGCACTTGAACAGCCTTCTGGAACGAAAAAAGTTCGAAACTCAGGATACCACTGTATTATAATAAAAAAAAATACTAAACCTACGAGAGTCGCCAAGCAATATAAAGATACAAATTTAGTCATGGAAAGACAGTTCATACTTAAACTACTGCTATATGTAACACACACTCAAGTTACATTTAGGGGACAACATGTTACTACAGTGTCTTTCCATTAAATGATTTTGAAAGTTACAAGGACAGGATTATAAATTTTTTATTAAGGTCATTAAATATTAAAAAAAATTTCATTGGTTTATTGTGTAGCATTTACAAAAGTGGGAACACCAAATATAATGAACATTCATATATAAAATCTACCTTATGCCCACTACTTTCTTTCCCTTTGTTGATATCTGAAATATCCTTGAAAAAAAAATAATCAAGGGGACCAACTGCAGTGCTCCTGTTTTGCTGCATGTAAATTAAAAATCAATTAGAGCACTAGGGTAAATTTTTAAAAGGCATCTGAATTGTTTGTCCTTTGGGTGAAAAAAAATCAGGTTAGCCAACACTTGACACTACAAGTCTGGCTGGTCAGGTACTCACTTGACACCTCAAGCGAGTGCCTGACCAACCAGACTGTGGTTCATATGTGGGTTTGTATGCAGCTGGCAGTAACAGCCTGGTTAAGTGGGCCCTGATTCACCATGGGGGCACTGACCTGGAACACCCTCCAGGTATACAGTAAACATCATATATATATATACATGTATATACATGTGAATAATCACACAGATAATGAGAATGCTCACCATAATTGTTTTAAGCAAATGAAATATGGTACTCATCACTGAAGTATGCTGGCCCCACCTACCTAAAAACCACAAAATAGGGCATCCCCCTGCACTCTACAACATCCTTAAACAGTCTAGGAAGTGATTAACACACATTCACCAGGGTTTCATGGCGTAAATTCAACCCTGAATCATGGTGGCATCCTAAAGCCATGGGAGTGGGTTGATATCCTTCCTCTAGTAGTTCTCACTATCACAGCCCAGAGGTTCTCAACAGGGTTCAAGTCTGGGGAATATCCTGGCCAGTCACTGAAGAAGTGAACAAGAGATTTCAAGGTGTGCCAAGGAGAACTGTCTTTCATAAAAACTTTGCACCACAGTGTGTGCAAGATTTAGGCAAATAATAAGAGCAATTCTAGGAATCTTGTTACAGTTAACATTAGTGAGGATGTTTTTCAAGGCTTCCCTAGATGTAGTTTTGTTGTAAGCATGTCATTAACATTGTCCTCAAAGAACTGACACAACCAGGTCCTTGCTGGACTCTCACAGGCATCAGAGGCTTCTGCTATTTCCTTTGTTTGATGGCCTGCCTTGTGTAATCCAATGATCTTTGTAATTGTCTCATGACAGTTACTTACTCCTCTTATTTAACCCTTAAACTGTCCAAACATAGATCTACATTTTTACCCGTAGGGCTCCGACCTTTATTTTCCCCATAAGAATGTAAAAAAATGTAGATCTACGCTCGAAGCGCTACGCGAGCGAACGTAGAAATACGTTTGGACAGTTTAAGGGTTAATTCAATAGCCAGAAACGACTGATAAACTTGGTCCTCACAATCACACAGTACAGGGGTGCCATGACAAAACCATCCATCACACAGCACGGGGGTGTCATGACATGACACAAAACTATCCACCACACATTACAGAGGTGCCATGACACAAAACCATCCACCACACATTACAGGGGTGCCGTGACACAAAACCATCCACCACACATTACAGGGGTGCTGTGACACAAAACCATCCACCACACATTACAGGGGTGCTGTGACACAAAACCATCCACCACACATTACAGGGATGCCATGACACAAAACCATCCACCACACATTACAGGGGTGCCGTGACACAAAACCATCCACCACACATTACAGGGGTGCCGTGACACAAAACCATCCACCACACATTACAGGGGTGCCGTGACACAAAACCATCCACCACACGTTACAGAGGTGCCATGACAAAACCATTCACCACAGAAGCCTGGAATGCACTTAATATGCAACCAGAAAGTAGTCTTAAGAATCCCACTTTGAGTTGCAGAACCAGCATAATTTTTCTCACTGACAAATCTATCAGGATGAGGTATTACTTTGAACAATAAATTATGATAGGTGCCTTCCACTGAGCATACTTTTAATTGAGTTCCTCTCCTAACCTAGTATATCACCAGGTTATCCTTCCTCTCGATGTACTCCTTACATCTCCTAGGTACTGACAACTCTCAAGTATGGAGGATAAGAGAGTTTATATCCTCTCACACCTGCTTAATGGCATTCCAGTGTGGTGATAGTAGTCATGTCCATGCCATGAAGCTTACACTTAATGAGGTTCCATAAGTTCTCTATTGGATTTAAGTCCAGTGAGTTACCAGTAAGATCATCAAAGGTTGAAACTTCACTATCACTTACCCAATTATTTATGTCTTTGGAAGTATGATGACAGGCACTGTGTTATATACAAATGTTGCCCTGGCACATCTTGAAACTGTCAGCTAATAGTCTGCTGAAAGCATACTTATGCATTTACATATTTATGATGCTTACTATATAAGGTAATCTACACATTAACATTCAAGCTAATTTATTAAACTGAATCATATATTTTTAATTATGATACACAACAATTTACAATTAGATTCACATTAGATAATAGAATCTGGGAGCTTGACCTTGGTGGGAAGTGCTGGTGCTTGGAGATCATCCTCATCGGTCAGGCTCAGTCGGGTCAGGTCCTCGGGTCGTACCAACTTAACCGGCATGGACATTGGATCTGCTTCCACACTTAACCCATTCTGCTGACAAATTTTGTTCATTTTAACTCATTTAAGAAAATAAGGTTCCTATATTAATAGCTCATAAAGCCTTACATGGGTGTGAAGAATGGGTTGTTTATATTGCAGCAAGGAGGAGACTGGAGGCAGTGGAAATGTCATATCGGAGAGAGGGCAATGTGTGATGTGAATATAATGCAGAGAATTCATAGCATGGATATTAGGACAAGGTGTGGGGATACTGAAAGTGTTACCAAGAGGGCAGAAGACAGGTTGTTGAGGTGGCTCAGACATCTAGGAAGAAAATAGGATGACTTGGAGGATGTATAAATCTGTAGTGAAGGGAAGACAGGGTAGGAGTCATCTTAAGAAAGGTTAGAGGGACAGAGTAAAGAAGGTTTTGTGTGAGGGAGTTAGATATCCAGCAGGTGTGTGAGTGTGTTAGTAGTGGAGGCAAGTGGTTTTTATGACTGTTGGAGTGTGAGCAAGGTAACAATTATGAAGGGATTCAGGGAAACCAGTAAACTGGACTTGAGTCCTAGACATGAGGTAGGGATGTTTGCAGTTTTGAACTGTAACATCAGTTCCCCTCTGGCAAGACAGTGATGGAATGAGTAATGGTGAAAGTGTTTCTTCTTTTTCAGATCATACTACTATGGTGGGAGATGGCTGGCGTGTTTAAAAAAACAATAACACACTCTTCAAGAATGCTCTGATACTGAAAGGCTGTGCGAACAAATTCAAACTACCTTTCTAAAATTCAATTTAAACCTCATTAACTGCACTCCATTTATGACCCTTATGGGTCTAGAGCTTTCCCATCATTATCCACTGGGGTCTAGATCTTCAAACAATTACCCTTTCAATACCCAACTTCTAGGATTATCTTTCCCAATTTTATTCTCAAGCTCGTTCTTTTACGCATAGCTAAATTGGCCTTCCTTATATTTCTTGAAATTTTAACTTAATTCAGGAATAAAACTCACTACCATATTCTCATTATTTACTAACCGTCTCAATGACTTACACATAATATATAACTGCCCAAGGAAAGGAACAGTAACATTTTATAAGTTATTCCAACCTAACAAAATAACACTTTGGTAATTATAGGTGCTCCTTGAAAAATATCCTACGCAGGATATGAATATATAACTAAATAACTACTCTCACTGAATAACTAACTAAATCAATAATTACTATAACTAAATACTAGTACAGTAGGGTCCTGCTTTATGGCGTTCCGCTAATACGGTCATTTCAAATTATTACCAAAACTCTCCATACGGCTCCCCTCACCTGACTTTCTAATACGGTCACCGCGCCCCACCCTGTTTGTTTACATTCTATGTGAGATCCGTAAGCACTAAGTCTCTCCATCATGCCTGGAAACTCCAAAATTTTAAGTGTTTTTAAAAGTCATTTCATATTTTATATATACGCTGATAATTATACTTATGTATACCTGTACTTAAATAAACTTACATACTGTGCTGGCATGCAGGTACACATTGAAATCAGTAAGTGTCTTATGTCTCGAGACACCATATTAGTAATCATAATAATAATCACAGAGTCTCATTAAATGTCGTATATTACGTTAATATACGCATTTTCATTAATCCATCTATGATATTTTTTCAAAATTATACAATAAACACAACGCGTAACATATAAAGATGATAAATACACCCCACAGTAGAATAAATAAACATAAATATGAGATGTGGTAGCCAGACGACTTGCACAAGTGATGCCATATTAGAAATGATAATAATAATAATCACCGAGTCTCATTAAATGTCGTATATTACAGTAATACACACATTTTCATTAATCCATCCATGATATTTTTTTCAAAATTATATAATAAACAATACATAACATATAAAGATGATAAATACACCCCACAATAGAATAAATAAAGATAAATATGACTAGGTAGTAGGTTGGTAGACAGCAACCACCCAGGGAGGTACTACCATCCTGCCAAGTAAGTGCAAAATGAAAGCCTGTAATTGTTTTACATGATGGTAGGATTGCTGGTGTCTTTTGTCTGTCTCATAAACATGCAAGATTTCAGGTACATCTTGCTACTTCTACTTACACTTAGGTCACACTACACATACATGTACAAGCATATATATACACACCCCTCTGGGTATTCTTCTATTTTCTTTCTAGTTCGTGTTCTTGTTTATTTCCTCTTACCTCCATGGGGAAGTGGAACAGAATTCTTCCTCTGGAAGCCAATGTATTGTAAGGGGCGCTAAAATGCCGGGACAAGGGCAGAACCCTCCTCCCGTAAAAATTTACAAAATTTTAAAAAGGGAAAACTTTCTTTTTTTTTTTTGAGCCACCCTGCCTTGGTGGATATGGCCATGTGTTAAAAAAAGAAAAAGGATGCTGGTGTCTTTTGTCTGTCCTAACATGCAAGTTTGATCAGGTAATCTTGCTACTTCTACAAACATTTAAAGTCCATACACATACAGTACAAGCGTATAACACACACCCCTCTTTTTTTTTTTATTTCTTTCTTGTTCTTTTTTATTCCCTTATCCCCGGGGGGAATGGAACAAAATTTCTTCCTCGTAAGCCGTGCGTGTTGAAAGAGGAACTAAAATCCCGGGAGAAAGGGCTAAAACCCCCTTTTTCCCCTGTTAAATACAAAATTTTTAAAAAGAGAAATTTCTTTTTTCTTTTTGGGGCCACCCGCTTGGTGGGATAGGCCCATTTTGTCAAAAAAAAAAATGAGACATGGGCCGATAATTTTGTACAGTATGGCAAAAATAACATTTTCTCTAGTCCAAAAAAAGAAAAAAGTGTTACGGGGGTAACTGAAAAAAACTTTTTTCCTTTCGTATGTAAGTTTATTCGGATACACAAATACATTTTACATAGTTTTATCATACTAGCAGCATATGGTAAAGTACCTAGGAAAACCCAAAAAAAGTCAAGAGGACTTTTTTTTTATTGCTTCTTTCAGAGTGTATTTTTTTCTAAAAATGTGTTAATAAAAATGGGATTTTTTTCCCTTTATTTTTCCCCGATAAATGTGAGACAACTTGTCACAATGAAATTTGTACACAAACCAGACGTGTAGCCTGGCTTGTTTACAAAACGGATTCACCTGGTTTGTTTACATAATTTCTGCACTTGTCCTCCCTCAGTACTCATTCTCTCTCTCTCCCTTTTATTTTTTTATCTCGTTTACTCACCCAACCCTACATTAAGACTAAAAATTTTAGTAATGATGAACTGTATATGCATTTTAGCTCTGAGATGTTTAAATATCATAGAAAGTATATGTGGGGGGGGGTGTTCTGGCTGACTACCAACACCCCACATCGTTTCTTACAATAAAAAACTCACTCACCCTAATTTAAACTACAAAAATTTTAAGGTAAAAGATTGAACTGTACTGCATTTATCGCTCGGGGATGCTTAAATTAATGCTATTTGTGTGGATGGGGTGGCCGGTATGGTACCCCGGGCTGGCTACCAACAACCAAACTTGATTTCTTAAATATACGTGACCCAAAACTAACGCATAACCCGTTCCGAGAGCCATCGTTAGTCAAAATAATCGTTAGTCAATTAATTTTCCCCAAAAAATAAGGGAAATCAAATTAATCCGTGAAAGACACCCAAAAGTATTAAAAAAAAAAATTTTTAACACATGAAATTAATTTTAATACACACAAACTGAAGAAGACATGCACGTCCCATGACTTACCTTTATTGAAGACGGTGGATTGATGGGATGGGAGGGGGGGAGAGTGTTGATGGTTAAGGTTTTGGGGGGAATCCCCCCCCCATAGGACTTGGGGCAAGTTTTTTTCGGGTTACTTCCCTTCTTTTTTTAATGCCAAGGACCACTTGAGAGCACTGGACCTCTGTCCACAACAAAATTGCCCATAGGGGCCGTACCCCCCTTTCCCTTTTATGACTTTCCCAAAAAGGTTTTTCACAACATTGCAGGGGTCACCATTAAACACTTGTTCAGGTTTCGTCCTTCACTGTCTATGTATCCTTGAATTCCTGCACATATTTTTCAGTGCTTTTGGTCCAAGGCAGCCTCACCATCCCTTTACACACTATGTATCCACTACGATCTTAAATTCTCAAACCAAACCTTTGCGGCCTTAAATTCACTCGCATCACCACATTTTGGGGCATTTTTCAAATTTAAATCGCATGCAACTTCCTCCCTTTTTCACTTGATCGTTTTGAGAGATCTACTCCTGCTACTGTTTTTCATTTATCCATCCCAAAACATCTCTCAACACTTCTTCATTTGCGTCTCAGTTTTCGAAAACACAGTTGCACCTTTGGCAATAACAGTTTCCTTTTGATTGCCTTTTTCTTCCACAATATTTCGATGGTTGATTGGGGTTTTTGTCAGCCTGGGCCCCTCGGGGACACGCACTCCCCTTTCATACTTAGCAATGACCTTTCTTATATCCATAGTAATTCCACCCTTTTTTGCTGAGGTTGGGACTAAAACTTTTTGGGGCCCCTGGTGACTTATTTTTCAGGCAATCACTAAAAAAGGGTGGATAATATGAAATGTTCCGATTGTACTTGGGAAGCGACCACGGGGGCTGGGGCTTTTAAACACTCCAAATGGGCGCGTCTCAGATGGGAAAGAATATGTTTGGGCGAGTTTTTTAGCGCTAATGGGCAAAAAATTTGCGATAAAATTATCGCTATCAGATTTTCGTTAACGATTTTTCCCCGCTGGCGAGGGTCCACTGTATATTTGTCTCACGCTAGTTAAGACTAAAAAATTTTTAAGGAAAATAACAAATTTTTGTAGTACCAACACCTATTATGGGGTGAAGCTTGGGGCGTGAATGCCAGCGGGAGGCGGTTTGGGGGCAGTGGAGATGTCCATCTAAGGGGAAAGTGTGGGGTAAAATTATGCAGAAAATTCGGAGTGTGGGAAATTGGAGAAGGTGGGAGTTAATAAAATATTGTCAGAGGGCTGAAAGGGTTTTTGAGGGGTTTGGTCATTTTGG